AAGTTTCTTTTGAATGAGATATTTGAAATTAAAAATCACTTAATTTTCTCTTTTTTTTTTCACCCTGTAACTTACTAAAATAAACATTATAAAAGTTTTCAGGGACTTTAGGCCCTCGGTAATAATGTAATCTTTCATTCTGCGGTTAAATTTTTCAAATGTACTTAATTAGTTTTCTCAGGATTCGGAAAAAATGAATGCATTTAGAAAGCATTGGCCCGAAATTTTGCGCCTACGCCTGCGCCTAGAACCTCTTTATACTGCGCCTACGCTCTTAACGAGTTGTGTTTATATGTTTAGCATAGAATACTCAAGTCCTTCGTTTTAAAAAGAGTTGTGCTGAAGGGGCTTGAAGATGGCGCTAAACGCATGCGAATACAAGTTTTAAACAATCATGTCTCGTTTAATTTTTAGTTTATAGGAATAAAAAAAATTAAATTTTCAGTAAAAATGATATTTTTTTATTCTAGCATTTTTTCTGTATCTTTTTTAGTTGTTTAGTGATTTTGAACAAAGGGGAAGCTTTGAAAAATTCAAAAATAGTGTCATCCCTTATTTACTTACCTTAATTGTTATGCAAACTACTTACCTTAATTGTTATGCAAATCACTTTTACCAGTGATATTTTAAAGGTTTTTTAAACAAGTTTCTAAAATAGTCCAAGATCCCACTGCACTACGTTTCTAACGTAGTTAATCAAACTGACTATTTTACATACATTTAAAATTAGGATACAATGACGTTTTTCACCAAAAATTTTCACTAAACACAATCCTAGAAGCTATAGCCATAACTGCATGGTGTCTCAAGAAAATAGTCATGTGTAATATTTATAATTTTCTTAACTATAATCTCACCAGCGCTGAAGTTTTTAATCTCATTAAGTTCTTAAGCTAGGATATTCTTCGTCTTCCCACATTCGCTTTCCTCGGATTTTGCCTTGCATAATAAGTTGTAATAATGAGTATTTTTGCTCTCTCATCACATGTCCTAAGTACTCAAGTTATCGTCTTTTGATAGTTAATATTTCCGCCCCATTTCCTATCCTTCTAGTTACTTCCACCTTTGACATTCTTTGAATCTATAATATTCGTAGGATTCTTTTGTAACACCAAAATTCAAAGGCGGCTAACTTATTCAGATGGACTTGTTTTAGTGTCCATGCTTCCAAGCTGTAAAGAAGAGTAGAGAACGCGTAACACCGAAGCATTCTCAGGCGTAGTTTTAACCTTATATCCCGACAACAAAGAAACTTGTTAAGTACTATAGTACTATATTGGCGTCAGCTGCGGCTCGTGGCCTAAAAAAGTGGTGAAGATGAGGAAATCTTGCCGGAGCCAAAAGGAGTTTTGGTACCTACGTCGCACCCAAATCTCATTAAAAATTCGTTAAAAAGATGTATAGTTATACAAAAACTAAACTAATATATACTATATACTATATACTATACTATATAAAAAATGTCTATATAATAGACTAAATTTCAAAATATTGTCTCTGCGAATTCTAAATAGGTAGTCATGCAACTAGTGGGCAGTGGGTGAAGACGGATAATATATTTGTTAACGGAACTTCACTAGCTATTTTTCTCAACTATCACTAGGGACAGGCTGACGTCACGTTGCCATGCCAACCGTGAACTCTTATGCAGATAGATTTCGCATTTCAAAAATGATATTCACCTATTCCTGAATCATACACAGCAAGGTACACAGGTCAGGACTTGACTGTCAAGTACCTACCGCACCGCTAATAAAGCTAGCTGTCTTTTTTAATTTTTAGATTAATTAAAGGAGAATAAATAATTGATTTCAGAATTTAGATATAATAATGTTGCTTTTATTTTTTATTTATTTGTCTCAATTTGATTATATTTTTTGGTGAACCTCACCTTTACCTGCTTCTCCTGGCCGGCCGCCGCTGATTGGCGTAGAATACGTTTGGTAGGGGTAAAGTTATTGATAATATTATCATTAAACATGATGTTAAAACCTTTTAAATACAGCAAGTAGAACATATTTCCATACCCACTCTGGTTCCTTTTCTTCAATTGACCTGAGCAATAGTGATCCTAAAACAGCTCCTCTTCTTACCTGGTACACGCTCGATAGTCTACGACAGTAATCACTTCCCCATCTTTATCACCGATAATGAACTTAAACCGTATTTTACTAAGAACAAATGCAATATCTTAAAAACTAATTCGGAACTAGTCAGGGCAGCTCTTAAAGATCGAGTTAACAAATTTTTTTTTCACAACAACGCTGATACGGATGTTGAACAATGTAATACATGTATATTACAAGCAGCAGAAGAATACTTTGGAAAGTACACCATTAATCGTTCCAAAAAATCCGTACCACGGTGGAATCTATCCTGCAATCTAGCAGTAAAAGTTAGTAAGAAGGCTTTAAGTTTCGAAATAAATACGATCAGCAGAGGATTAAATTAATTTCAAGAGACTAAAGGCTAAATGAAAGCGAGTATTAAAAGAAAGTAAAATGGAATTCTTGGATTAAATTCTCCAGTACTATAACCGCTGACATACCTTCATCTCAAGTATGGAACAAAATATAACAAATTAATAGACGCAACACAACATATAAAATAGCCGCTCTTATCCACGAAAATGCTATCACAGACGACCAGAAAATTCCTGATACCTTCGCACAATATTTTTTGGAGAAATGCAAAAACAGAATTAACCATGTACAGACACAAGACGAACAGAACCCTCCCCAGTCCTTCTCACCTAAGCCCGATCCCCATAACCTAAATGATATTCCTCCAATATTTATTAAAAAACTACATTCAGACACGTTAAGAAAATTCGCAGTCACGTGTAGAGGTAGGTGGTTGGTGTCCTTCTTTCTATATATCAAGAATGCTTTTAATTGTGCAAGCTGCAAAATGATAAAAATATATTAAGTTTCCCCATAACTTCAAAATTTAGTAAGATAATAGTTCACAAAAAGACAAATAAGCCTAGTCAAAGGCAACCTAATGGATACAGCGGTAGGTAACACCATTGGGCTCGGTTCTCGGGTCGCTGTTGTGGAACACCTTATATAACGACATTCTAGAACAAGCGATACAGGCCGTGGCATACGCAGGCGACTTGGTAGTACTTATAGAACACATTGATAATTGGCTTATCATAAAATCTGCTAATACTGCACTAGAAAGAGTTAAAGTTTGGTTAGAAAACAGATATCTAAAATTAGCCCCACAAAAGACAGAACCAATCACAATTAAAGGTCCAAGAGACAAGAATCATATCTCCTTCGTGCTTGAAAGAGAAAAAATATTTCCAGTAAAAAAGGTGAACTATTTGTACGTCATTGTTGATTTTAAGGGAATAATTGGTGAAGAGGTCAAACATTTCGCCAATAAAGCTGATCAAAGAACTGCAGTACTAGCAAAAATTATGCTTAACATAGTAGGACCTAGTGCAGGAAAAAGACGAATCCTCATGGAAATTGTCCACTCGACAATTTTATATGCTGCACCAATCTGGCATCAAGTATGAACTAAAGAAAAGTGTAAATTAATATTGAAAAAACACAAAAAAAGGTTTGTCTGTGCATATTGGACGGCTTAGACTGTAGCTGTGGAGGTCGTAGCGGTAGTACCAGTAATACACCTGCAGGAAAAAGAGTGATGGAGAGCATACGGCACGAATAGTCAGAAAAAGAGAGATGTAACCATGGACGTATAAATAACGTCCATGGATGTAACACAATACGAATGCGGCAAGAAAAATGGGAAAATGAACGAAGAGCTAAATGGATCAATTGCAACTACAAGAGCACGAACTACTTTACACAAATCCTAACGGGCCATGGATCGTTTAGAGACTATCTCGAAAAAATAGACAAAGCAATGGATGATAACTATGCGGACTGTGGAGTTAATGACACAGCCGACCATTGTGTATTTGAATGTAACATATTTAATGAAAATAAATCCGAAATGTACATAAAAGTAGGAATATATAGAGCGCGAGTCAGACTGGCTGTTATGTGAAGGGGAAAGAACGAGTTAAACTCTGTTTGAAATGCAATAACAAATTATAAAAAGGAAAAATGTAGAAAGAGAAAGACAGTAAGGATAAATATAAATAGAAAGATAAATGGAAACAATGATATAGGAGGCTGCGCGCGAGATTGAACGGACTAAAAGGGGTGCCGCGCGCTTAAACCGAGAGTGATCTTAGTTGGTATGCAGGGTACCATGAATGCTTCCGGTGGCAAGACCCCCAAAAGGCAAAGTGCGTTCGGATGTACTCCATCTAATCTGAATCCAATTTACGTCAAGTACGATTCACCTATCGTTAAACCCTATATAACGCCGAAAACTAATTGGCATAAAAAAACGTAGTAATGCATTTCATTTTCAATCAAAAACAATGGTAGAGTAATCTCATGGAACGTTTGTATTTTTTGACGAACCTCTTTTCTGGGTTTATAATGGCACACCTGTTTATAAAAAATCTTAAATTAATAATAAATAATGTTTTCCATGCGGTTTTGACTTATTGAAATATATTTAAAAAATTATAATTTATTAAAATATATTTTTAATAACGTAAAATTTGTAAACTTGTATATATTTGTGAAAATATTTGTAGCAACTAACATTATGAACATGAATAAGACAACATATTATAAATATTATGATTATGTAACTGAAACTGACAATATGAAAATTGCACATGAAAAATCACACACGTTACGGAAAGTCTGTCATTTTAAACGTGATCGAACACTACACAGTAGGATCTGATAGATGAAATGTCGATAAATGTCACTATAATTTCGTGACTCACGTCATTTTATGTGTTAATCAGGTGACTAATTAATGATATTTCAAAGTGACTAATTCTTCGAAAGTTTTATTGATTAGTGGAAACTGACTCTTTTTATGCAGCTGTCGAACAAATTAAAGATTTATTGAGTCGGTAATTGCTGTATAAGTAGAGTGCATCAGAAAAGTTATCGATGGATAAGGCGTTAAAATGGAAGTTAGTGGAGGATCCCACTGGACCTCATCCTCGTCCAAGACATGGCCATCGTGCAGTAATTATCAAGGACTTAATGGTTGTTTTTGGCGGCGGAAATGAAGGAATGTGTGACCATATTTTTGTTTTTAATACAGGTAATAAAATAAGATTAGAATTTAATGCTTTATAGATTGTATAGCACGCAAGGGGGTATTAACTTATATATACAGTTTCCAACATAAAACTTCTTCGCAATCGAATTTTGTACGTCGATGCGCATGACGTCACTTGGTGATAAAAGTTTATCTTTAATTTAATATTCTGAAATATATTTCATCCAAAAGTGCACACATTTATTTGTCAACGTATAGATAAACGATAAAACAATACTAAATCTGACAAAACTCCATGCAAAACAGAACATTTCTGGTGATATTTGTCGCCAAATGACGTCACACTTGCAAAAACGATAGACTGATCGCAGGTGCGTGGGTTTATCTTTAGTTCATGGTATCATGGTTTGGACCAGTGTTAATATGAATAAAGAGTGGGTATAAAGAATGTATTATGATTTCAATCCTTTCAGACCTGGACTTTTTTCTGTAAATGGATTTAGTTGTTTTATAGGCATGCGCATTTAATAATTTTATTACCCTTCTCTTTTCCTTTATCCTTATACGGGGTCGGCTTCCTGAGTGACACTTTTATCTCAGGTTTTATTGGGTCTTCCTCTCCTACTCGTCCCAGGAACCTGCAGGTCAGCAGTTCTTCATATTGGGTAATTAATGTCTCAACGTTGAATATGACCAAGACATCCTAACCTATGCTGTCTTGTTTTGGGATCAGTTGGTGCTACCCGTCTCAATTATTTAACGATTCGTCTAGACAGTGGCCACAATTATGTTTAACTTATCGCTTCCGGCAACACAAGATGCAACTCGTTTCCACAGTGTTGAGTTTATCTCCAGGAAACACTTAAAACTCCAGCACCCCTAACATCTAAAATTAATTTTCTGCAGAACTGTAAAAGTATGTTTGGTTGCCGACAAGAAGGCCCCAAATGCTCTCCAGTATACCTCAATTGTTCTTTCGAGATACAGCCCGAAAACCCTTTGAACCCCTTATTCCAAGATGGCGAGTATTTAAGAACCCGGTGAACTTTGGATCGCTGTAAAATCTAGAGACATTCTTAAAATTAAACTTTTCAGTGAAAATTATTCTTTACAAAACCCCCTATCATATCGATCTAATGTCATTTTATTTGTTCTAAAAATTTATCTAAATTTGTTCAAAAGTTTTTAGTTATATTTGTTAATAACTTTTCATAACAATATGAATAGCAACAAGTTAAACCACCTCAGATTTGCTGACAACAATCCTGATTATAGCGAACACATTCGAGGAATTACAAATTATGATGAAGGAAATTACAAATTATGATTATACTAAAAATTCCATGGACGGCTATACTGACAAATCTGGCAGTCCTTGAAAGAGCAAATGCTGCTCGCGAGCTGCTTGATAACATCAAATGTAGAAAGATGACCTATTTTGGACACGTAGTAAGGGGAGACCGATATAATATTCTTCAACTTATTATGATGGGTAAAATCGAAGGACGCAGAGGAATTGGTAGAAAGCAGGTCTCTTGGTTGAAGAATATCAGGGAGTGGACAGGAATAAAGAAAGCTGAGCAACTATTTAGAATAGCTCGAGACAGAGACAGTTTCGCCATGTTAATCGCCAACGTCAAGGGGATTTGATAGGGCACGTTAAGAATAAGAAGATGAAGGAACTCTCAGGCAGTTCCCAATCGGTTGGCCTAAAAAAGAAAATGACAAAAACAAAAACAATGACAAACACAGACGACCCTAGACGTATGTCTATAAATATCAGTAAGATAGAACAAGTCCAGGAATATATCTACCTAGTCCAAATTCTGAAACTTGCCAAAGAGAAACAAAGTATGAAAATTACTAGAAGAGCAAGACCGGCTTGAGCAGGATTTCGAAAACTCAGCAACCAGTGCATCTTTCCTATCATGACGTATATATGTCAAACCTGGACCATAATCAAGGCAACTATGAATAACTAGCCACAACAGCTCAAATGGAGCTTCGTAGACTACACTGCTAGACAAAATGACCAACGTTGGAACGCCACAATACCTTACAAAAATTGCGACCTTACGAATGTAGACGACCAAGAGGAATACCACAGATGAGATGGGTAGATAACATAAAAAGAGTAGCTGAAACCAATTGGAAGTATGTTGTTGACTGTACATAGAGATCGATGGAAGGAGTTGAGAGAAGCCTATGTCTAAAAATGGACGATAAAAGACTACTAAAAGAAAATCTACAGATTTACTTAAATTGTTAATAGTATGATGGTAATATGTAATATTATTATAAACTCATGTACATTTTTGTAGCAACAAATCAGTGGTTTGTTCCAATCACTAAAGGTGATGTACCGCCAAGATGTGCCGCATTTGGTTTCGTGGCAGATGGAACAAGGTTATTAGTTTTTGGTGGCGTGGAAGAATATGGCAAATACAGCAATGAACTTTATGAGTTACAGGTAAATATAATAAAATATAATATATACAGTGTAACAAACTTAGATTAGAAATACTATAAAATTTAAAGTTGTTAATCAATTTTAACCAATTTTTTTGTCAAAATGTCATAAGGTTCACCGGGGTAAGAGGAAAGTTAGGGAGAACGCCCACCAAACTGGATGGCAAGTAGCAAGTAGCACGCGTCTAGCATGTTACTTAAAATGTAACCAATGAAAACGAATGATTCAGTGCGCACCAAATGACAGTGACGTCATTCATTCTAATCATTCGTTTGCATTGGTTACATTTTTGTAAATTGGCTCCACCGAATGAATACTACCCTATTTATAACCTTTATAATACTATATATAGTTTTGTTGTCGGTGCGTATAATTTCAAAAGATAATTGTGAAATTATTTAAACTGTTATGCAGTACCTGCTATGCAGGGAAAGAGACAGGTTGGAAAGCCAAGAAAGCTCTGGGAAGACACAGTAAACAGCGACGCACAAGCTCTTTTAGGAGTCCGTGTATGGAGAAGATCAGCCACAGACAAGAAGTAAGTACCTAATTGGGAGTACTCCTTGATATTTTAAATTCATAGAAAACGCTCATTAGTTCACATTTACTAATCAATGCATGGCTTACACTTGTTCCAACAAAATGGTGGATGGGGCAAGGTTACGTTAGGTTAAAGTTGCACCAGTTTTGTATTTGACAATGGCTGTATACAGAGCATGAACAATTTATAAGATTCCCAAAGTAATGTTATTTAAACATGTTCAAGGTCAAAGAGGTATCAAACGCTCAGTCATATGTAGACCCACTGCTATACCTTATGAAGAAGTAAAAATATAGCTGAAAACAATGGGGGCTTGGCCTCTCCGAGAAAGAAGTGTTGCTACTTATAGGTCCTTGTTACAAAGAGAATAAGATCGAAAGTACATTTAAAGATGGTATAATAGGTAATGATTATTTCATGTAATTTAAGAAAACGTTCAATATCATTCAGAAAAAACCACAAATAATGGAATTAGCAAGAAACAGAAGTGTCGACCCATTCATTCTCAGTGATTACTTTACTCCGTTAAAAAAGTTATAGAAGCTGTTTCTCCATCAGCTGTCTACAATATAGAAACTTGTTATTTTTTGGATTCAAGCAGAATGCTAGTTGTTGGCACGAAAATAACAGCTGCTCATAGAGCAACTAGTGGGCCTGGGAAAGAAAATATCACTGTGTTGCTAGGTGCAAGCGCGGCGGACGAAAAACTACCACCCAATATTGTATTTAGAAAGAAGAATGTGTGGGACTCATAGCTCGCAAAAAAGGATGATGAGTATGCTGGAAAAACATATTCGGCCACAAAAAATGATTGGGCGAAAACGTTCCAAAATTATTTCAAAAACAATTTTTTAAGAAACATAAACCAGGACCGACTCGTTATTTTTATCTACGATGGCCAGAGCACTCATGTTGGCGTCTCACTTGTTCAAATAGCAAAACAAGAAAACATACACATTTTTTTAAACTACCCCCCTCCCCCCCCACGACAACAGCTATATCCTTCAACCGATGAATCTCAGTGTGTTCCAGTCTTTAAAAATAAAATGAGAGGAAGAACTCGTTAAGTGGCAACGAAAGAATTATGGATATAATCTTCTCAAATCAGTTTTTGCTGCTGTAATGTCCAAAATATGGGAAAATATAGATCCAGTTATTATTAAACATGGATTTAAAAAGGCTGGAATTTTTCCATTTTGCGACGCCGTTATAGCCATAGAAAGTTATGAACCACAAGCATATAAACTTGGTGTTCTTTTCAAGAACGGCCACAACCACAATCGCAAACGAAGTCAGTGTATCTGAAGGCGTAGCCTCATCTTTAAACCATCGACAGAAAACGTTTGAAGAGTTGCTTCTGACGCAAGTAAAACAAACACCAAAAACTACCAAAGAAAGAAAAATAATCTTCGCTAGTGGGGAAGTGATTACTTCAGAGGAACTGTTGCTAAACTGGAACAAATCCAAAACCAGCGGCTTGATGTAATGTGAGCGTAGCAAGTGAGTGGGGAGTTGGAATAAAGGGCTAAGTAGCATAGAAAAGATAATAATTATTCGAGATAATTATTATATATTCCAAATCAAATAAGGGATAATTAATACAGTAAAGTTTGCATTTTAAATCACACAAAGAAATTGACCTAGTTATTGCATTGTTTGATAATTGTTTAAACGTAGAAAAAGCACGTCAAACAGAAACTGTTATTGTAATGCAATATAGGACCTACAATTCAGCGAAAACGCAACCTTGGACTACAACCGGTCAATGAGGACACCAGTTGATAAAAACCAAACTAAGGAGGCCAGGCAGTCAGTAATAGCGAGTCAGTCAGTGATAGCTGGGCACCGTGACTGCCCGCTCAGGCAGTATTGCCGGCATCGGGTAGGACGCGATAGCGTCCCGTACGCGCAGGCAGTCGGTATGTCTCCGGGGAGTGCTTAACACACGACATAGTATCTCGTGCAGTCAGGTTATTGGTGGTAACTCGTAAGTTCGTAACAACGGAGGAGTCCCCTCAACTGACCGAGCTCCAGAGGACCGAAGACGTGTCGTTGTTGAAGGTCTAAATACACATAAGGTAACAGATTTCTATATACTAACCTGAGTAATTATAATAGTACAACTGTCAATTCTTCACTATCTTGCTTCTCGTCTCCCGCAACGATTGTATCGATTGTATTTGTAACTTCAGGGTAAATTCAATATATTGTAGATTCTAAATTGGTTTTTAATGTTCCTTTCGTCCGACTCAGATAGAGACTAGGAGAGTACAAGATTCTGCTTATGCATATCTCCGGCTTCAAAAGTAAGCCCCATCAAAATAAAAAAGATTTCAAAAAAATAGCTGAGAATAATGCTAGCGAAGAGCCAGAAAAAGAGTATATTCGAAACAAAAATAAGCAAAAAAAGTGGACGAAAAAGAGATTATTTGAAGAAGATAATAGTGATTGCGACTGTATTGAAGACAAACAAAGAATTTCAAGCAATACTACCATGAATGAAGATAATGAAAATAAGATTTTTATGCACTTACCATATCCTACAGTAGATAAAAGGGGAAAATAGTATTGAATGTTACATTTGATTTTTACAATGTGGGTAAGTAATGCATATCTTCTATTGCCAATTGCCAATTTTTTTTTGTATCGTATATCAAAGCTAACTATTTACTCTTACCCCGGCAAATGTGCTTACACTCTTATAGTAAAATGTGTGCTTCAGGTTACACTTACTCCACACCAGTGGGATACCTAAGTGTAACCCATGGTCAGCAAAAATAAAAAAAGAAACAAAATATAATTGGAAGGTGTGATTTGTTCATTTGTTTGTGTAGTAATAAGTTAATGTCACTTAAAAATAAGTCCGATTTAGAAACATATTTTTTGATCAATGCATTTCAAACAATAAATAACTGAAATTCTCGGTTCCACTTACCATGGTGTACCTTATAATAAAAGGTTTATTTCATAGGCATACTATGACACTTTTCCTTAGTCAGAAATAGCGAATTTATATTAGCAATTTTTTATTGAAAGAAATTCTATGCCACTGAATTAATAAGCAAGTTATGGCAACTTCAAACTCACAATTAACGAGTCAACAAGAGCACCCTGTATCAAAAGATAGCCTTGAATATTATTATTATTGAAATAATTTTAATAATTAATTACCACTACACGAAAAAGATGTTAAAAATTTATTAAAAGTAACGCCTAAAATAGATCCTATTCTAAATATTTTAACTTAAATCTTGTTAAAGATGTCCTGGACCCACTGGTCAAATTGGACCGGATAATCCGTGAAAGCAACATTCCGTTTCGTAAAACTTTTTCATACATTATTCCGGTACAGACCTATCTCGTTCGAGTATGACAAAATACCACAGAAAGTGTCTAAATAGTACCTATATCATGATAATGAAACGATTTGTGTACATTCTAAATTATTTAAACCTTCAAACGGTCGTGTAGATATTTGATACGGGAGAGGCCGCGAGTGGTCGAAAAGACCTACTCATATTTTAGAGAATGTGCAAATACTCACTAAAATCCTACTTCGACAATTTACCTGGAGCTTGCTGTCAATGACTGCGTTAATGATATTAGTGATATCAATCATTTTAAAATCTTAGATGAATTGTATAGCTTATATGAGGCGTTGAGAACCAGAGCGGACCATCCACATAAGAACTTCATTAGAGATAAATGCGTTTAAAAAATGTTCGATTTTTCATAATTTTTTTAATACTGATAAAATCATTTTAACAACGCTTAATTTTTGGTAAAATCATAAGAAAAGGTAAACCTTTGCTGCACCATTAAAAATATACCACAATGTGCACTAAAGAAGAAGTTTTTGTGGCTTGATCCACTCTGGCTTTAATAAAAGTTTTTGTTCTTCCGTAGTGGACCAAAACCAAAGACACATACTTTAATTTTAATATCATTTTATTACAAAATAAACACTTATGGCATAGATTAACTTAAAAAAATCATAATTTGTTAAAATATTACAAACTTGCATCCAAATTTTTATCAACTATGGGCAGTTCATCGTGCGCTCCTAATGAGCATTTTAAAGACTGAAAGAAGTTATGATAGATGGGTGGAATAAATTCGGTTAACTGTAAAAGATCTTTCTTTTTGGCGTCGGTTATACAATTTCCATTTGGGTACAACAGAGGTAACGGTCTTTGGAAATCTTCCATAACCACATTTCTTTTTTGAATGCTAAATTTTTGTACAGCATGACACTCACTGGTGCCATATTTAAAATATACAACAAATGGGTCTTCTTTTTTTATTATAATACAATGCATTTTTAGCCATTCTACTTTTGAGGATTCTAAACTTATTTTTCTGTTTGTAATAAGTTTTTCCAACCCCACGGTAGAGTAAAAGTTTTCTTTTTCCATTAGGACTACTCTAAATGGATTTTTTTTCTTTGCTCCTAATACGA